GAGGCTGGAGGTGGAGTAGGAGTAGCACCTGGGGATCCAGTAGATGAGCGGTGCTCTTTCTGCGTTGCCATGCCGTCTGTCGTTGTAAAGAATTGGGAAATGTTGAATCTTGTCTTGCAAGCTCTCATACCATGCTGGGCTGAGAAAAGCCCTTAGGATCGTTTTCAAGACTAAGACTTAGGATGATGTAATTAGTGGAAGCGTTCTTAGTGAACTGGATTGAACCACCTTGTGCTGGTGTATGAGGACAAGATAAGTTGATTAAAACAAAGAGATACAAGCTTTTATATGATTACAAGGGAATATGAAGGTTTGACTAACTGCTGTTGTAACTGTTGTTGTAACTGTTGTTGCGGTTCGATACAGCGACCAGGGCCCAGAATTCAAGGGTGTTTTACCCTTTCTACCCTTGCTATGGGCCGCTTTTCCAAGGTTGCCCTGATTCAGTACGTGTTTTTACGAATTGACCCTGACTGTAGAAATGTAGTTTTTGAAATACACTTTCATAATCAGGCCTCCACGAGTTTTCCCCCGACTCGTCGGGGTAGTTTTTGAAATGCACTGAAACAGACTTTCTTCGTGTCGTTTCTGTACAACAGGGCCCATGTGGCCACTAGACCGAGATGGTTACAAAACCGGCCCCACCAGTCACTGTCGCGCTGTCAGCTCGACAAAACAGACCACACCACAAAAGTTGTGATTCGCTGCCTCGACAGCATTTTCATCCAGCATGGCAATTCAGCCCACACCACCATGCCATGGGCTGTCCTTGCAGACTATGGATGGTGGGACTTCCTTGGCTTATTACTTGCATGCGCAGCGCCACACCTTGTGGATGCGCTTGGTGAAAGGACCCTTCATATGATCGAGTGCCTTCTCTTTCGTCCACACGTTCTCCGGCCATTTCTTCCATCCGCTTCTCAGCTCCACTAGCACCTCCTCACCATGCCAGACGAGGAATCAGAAGAAGCACCTGCTTCTCGTCGCAATGGACTTTCTGTCCTCGAGGGTTTCCCCCGCCTGGGCAAAGCCTATGCCACTCCTGTCCACGAACCTCCTCGCCTCGAATCACCACTCCGTTCAGTCGGCATGGTGTATGCGTCGGAGCCACCGAACTCGCCGACTGCCTTGGAGCCACACCCGTCCGTGACTTTGGTGCCTGGTGGTGACGAGGGCCCTTCAAACCGCGGCGAGAGCACTCCGTCAATGGTCAATAGCGCTCCTGCTAAGCGTCCTCGCACCGGTGGTGTGAAATACACCCAGCAGCTTCTGTGCGGAGCAAAGCCTCCACGCAAACCACCAAGTCCTCCTCGTGTAGCTCCGCGAAAGGAGGCTGAGGAGTTACCCAAATCAAATGCGGACACTGAGTATGCTATTATGAAACATTGTTTTGATTCTGACTGGTCCTCCCGTTTTCCGTGGCTTCCTTGGCATCGCAAGAAAGCAGGTCGCCCCTCGTTGAAGTGCAACATCTGCATGCTGCATGGCGCTGCCAACACGTCATACAGCATCAAGGGCGAGGGCGGCGGCGATCTTCAGCTTGGCAGCATGCGCGCCCATGTTGCGACTCATGCGCACAAGGCCGCCTTGAAGGTGGAAGCTGAGGCTGAGGTGCGGCGTGAGCGTCAACTGACTCTGACTCGTTGGCAAGCCACGGATGGATCAACACGTCACATAATCCGCTGTCTACACATCGCCATGTTCATCTGTAAGGTGGGTGCTCCAATCGCCCTCTTTGTACCTCTTTGCTGGTTCCTGGCCAGAGAGGGATTTCCTGATCTACCGCCCACAGGTGGCTACGGGGCGTACTATACACAGAAGATGGTCGGCATCGCCACGGATGGCGCGAGCGTGATGGTCGGAGTCAACAATGGCGTGATCGCGCGTCTCCGCGCCAAGATTCCTCATCTCGTTTCCACACATTGCATAGCGCATCGGTTCGTTTTTTTCATGTACTGTTCTTTTTGGCTTATCCCTCTGCTCTGTTGTATTTATGCTGCAATCCTTTTTCGAGCCTAATGCGTGGGCAAGTTTGTTCCCTTCTTCACCGATCCACCCTCTGTCGTGCAGTGAAGCTCTGGCGGCGAAAGATGTTGCGACTGCCGCACCGGATCTCAACATGGTCGACGACGTCGTGCGCGGTTTTGACTCCCTTCTATCCAACAGCCACGTCCAGCACGCGCGATTCCTGAATCTACAGCTCACCTTTTGTCAAACCAACCTTGAAGTCCAAGACATTCATGCAGTTCGGTGCTTATCCTGGGGGGAAGCCGTGTCGCGTCTTCTGGAAGTGCTCCCGGCTGCCATTGTTTTGATGAAGGACCAGTCGCCGACGTTGTACAAAGTGGCGACTTCGTTCAAGTTTCATTGGCTTGTGCGGCTCCTAGCGGACGAACTGTACGAGATAAATCAGCTCAACCTTCGGTTCCAGCAACGCCAGGTTAGTACGCGCAATGTTTATGTCAAACATTCAGCTCAATGCTTGGTTTCCATGTGAAGTATCGTTTTAAAAACAGGCACACACTGAATCTGTACTGCGCGTGCGATACAGTTGGAAGTAACTTGGGTGGCACACCTCATGGAGCAGACGCGGATGCGCCTGACCCAACGCTACCTCCGTGTCCCAGAAGGATGTCAAACTTATACACTATAGTCTGTGTAGGCTGTAGTGGGGTAGCTCATATGGGGTACAACATTCTAGGGTTTGGTACTTGTACTCCTCATGCTGCTCAATGCATTCATTCTCGTTCTAACTTTTCACATGGTAACAGAGCAGGTTCCCTCATGGGAACTGTTCCTAGGGCCCACCAACCTTTTTTTTCCTGCCCGGAGCGCCCTCCGCCCCTGCCCGAGTCGCGCTCCCCTCTAGCTGCCCTTAGCGGCCCCGTCGCGCCGACCTTACGGCCCCGTCACGTCGCCCTAGCGGCCCCGGCGCCGCCTCCACTGGCCTCGTCGCTCTACCCTCGCGACCCCGCGGCCCCACCCTCGCGACCCCGGCGTCGCCCCTCGCGGCTTAGCCGCCCGCGACCCCACCGCCGCCCGTAGCGGCCCCGTCGCCCTTCGCGCCGCCCGCGACCTCGTCGCGGCAGCCGCCTTCGACCCCTTAGCCGCGGCCGCCCGCGACCCCGTCGCCGCAGTCGCCCGCGGCCCTGCTGTCGCAGCCGCCCGCGTCCCTGCCGCCGCGACCGCCTGCGATCCCGTCGCCGCGGCCGCCCGCGACTCCGCCACAGCCGCCCGCGCCCCCGGTCGTCGCAGCCGCCCGCGACCCCGTCGCCCCACCCGTGCGACCCCACCGCCGCCCTTCGCGGCCCCGTCGCCACACCCTCGCGGCCCCGCCGAGCAGCCGCGCCGCCGAGACGCCGCACCGCCGAGCCGCCGCTGCCGCTGAGCTGCAGAAGCCTCCGAGCCGCCGGTGCCGCCGAGCTGCCGAGCCGCCGAGCCGCCACTGCCGCTGCGCTGCCGAGCCGCCACTGCCGCTGCGCTGCCGAGCCGCCGAGACGCCACTGCCGCCGAGCTGTCGAGCCGCTGAGCCGCAGAGCTGCCGTTCCTGCCGTCGTGGCCCTGTTCCCGCCGGCGCGCCTCGGTCCTTCTCGCCTGCCCGGTAAGAGCAGCGCCTCCGCCACTGCTCTGCCCTTGCCTGCTGCTCTCACTGCTCGTCTACTGCTGTCATGGCTTCCCCCAGTGTCCTCACCTTTGACGCTGAGGGTCGGGCCATTGACTTTGACGTCTGGGTAGATGACCTGCAGCTTTTCCTACTGAGCGACAGAGCAGACGGTCTCTCCCTCTTTGACCTCACTTCTGGTGCCTCTCCTGCCCCTGCTGCTGATGCTGACCCCACTGTTCGCTCTCAGTGGGCCACGCGCGATGCTGCTGCCCGCCTTGCTGTGCGCCGCCACTTGCCGACCGCTGAGCGTGCGCACTTTAGCCAGTACAAGAGTGCTAAGACCTTGTACGACGCTGTAGTTGCACGCTACTCTTCCCCTGCCACTGCTGCGCTTAGCCGCCTCATCCTACCGTACCTCTTCCCTGACCTCGCCGCTTTTCCCACTGTCGCTGACCTCATTACGCACCTTCGCACTAGTGACACTCGCTACCGCGCTGCGCTTCCTGCTGAGTTCTGCGCCAAGAACCCCCCCCCCATGTACATCACCCTCTACTACATAGTCACCCGGCTCCCTGACACCCTTCGCCCGGTTAGGGACCACTTCCTCTCTGTTTGCCCCACCACCCTCACCGTTGACCTCCTCGAGGAGCGCCTGCTCGCGGCAGAGAAGAGCATAGTCGCAGTAGGTGCCTCTCGTGGTGACCCTCGTACCCCTGTCTTTGAGGGGTGCTCCCCCTCTCCCCTCTTGCCCTCTGTTGCCTCTGCTGCTGCGGCCGACCTCGTTGGTCTTGAGTCGGTCGCTGCGGCGTCTGCCCCTAGCGGGAGACGCCGCCCTGGCAAGGGCAAGGGGGGCAAGGGTGCTGGAGGGGCTGGCGGGGGAGGTGGAGGCGGAGGTGGAGGTGGTGGAGGGGGTGGGGGTGGCGGTGGGGGTGGTGGCGGGGGTGGGGGCGTCGGTGGCGGGACTGGAGGTGGAGGTGGAGGCGGCGGTGGCGGTGGGAGCGGAGGTGGCGGAGGTGGCGGTAGTGGAGGAGGTAGCGGCGGAGGCGGCGGAGCTGGTCGGGGTGGCGCTGCGCAGAGGGGTGGCTCCGGTGGTGGTGCGCGCCAGCAGCAGCAGCAGCAGCGTACCCGTGAGACCCCTTCCCCCCAGCAGCTTCGTGAGTGGTACGCTGCTCGTCAGCGGGGCGGGGGTGCTGGCCCCTGCACCTACGTTCTCCGTACCGGCGACCGGGCGGGTGAGCAGTGTGGGGGCGCGCACCCCACCCAGCGCTGCTTCGGTCGTCTGACAGACGCGTGGCGCCACCAGTTCCCCGACGCTACTGAGATCCCTCGCTGGGGCGAGCTGTCTAGGGCGGGTGTTGCAATCTATGATCTTGATTTTGATGCTATTCTTGCTGCCATGTATGCTGTGACTATTAGTGATGAGGGTGACTGTTACCGGTGTTTCCCGCCTGACCCAGGCATAGAGGCTGCTGCGCTAGGTACTTGTGAGGCTGCTGCTCTAGGTGCCAGTGCGTCTGCTGCCCCAGGTGCCGGTGAGTTTGCGCTCTCAGGTGCTGCGTCGTCCCCGGACACCCACACCTTCACCCTTGACTCGGGTGCTTCCCGCTCCTTCTTTCGAGACTGCACCACTCTCACACCGCTCAGTCGGCCTGTTGCGGTCTCCCTGGCGGACCCCTCTGGGGGTCCTGTCCTTGCTCACTACTCCACTGTCCTACCGTGTCCGGCGGTCCCGTCTGGCTCCCTGTCGGGTCTCTACCTCCCCTCGTTCTCTACGAACTTGGTGGCGGGGGCTGACCTCCAGGATGCAGGAGTTGACCAGTTCACCCCTGCGCGTCAGCGGGTGACCCACTGCACTTGTGCGGACACGGGCCGCCACTTGGCCACGTTTGCTCGTCGGCCAGGGTCGAGCCTGTACACACTGACTACTGAGTCTCCTCCAGTCACTGAGTCTGCTCAGGTAGCAGCGTCGGGTCAGGTGTTTGCTGCGGCGTCCAGGTCTGGTCCTGAGTCTGCCCCCTGCTCGTGTCGTCTCCTGTCTCACCGGACTCTCCTCTGGCACCACCGTCTTGGTCACCCCTCCCTGCCTCGCCTTCGAGGCATGGCTTCCCGTCTTCTTGTTTCTGGTCTCCCCCGGTCCCTCCCTCCCCTTCCTCCGGGGCCTGCCCCCACCTGCGTTCCCTGCGTCGAGGGGCGGCAGCGCGCTGCTCCTCACTCCTCCGAGTTTCCTCCGACAGAGGCTCCGCTGCAGACGCTTCACATGGACGTGTGGGGCCCGGCCCGCGTCCGTGGGCAGGGTCAGGAGCGCTACTTCCTGCTGGTGGTTGACGACTACTCGCGTTACACCGCAGTCTTCCCCTTGCGCAGCAAGGGTGACGTCACTGAGGTGTTGATCGCCTGGATCCGCGCGGCTCGTCTCCAGCTCCAGGAGAGTTTCGGCTCCGACTTTCCTGTTCGGCGTCTGCACTCCGACCGAGGCGGAGAGTTCTCCTCTGACCTTCTGCGGACCTTCTGTCGCGCACGAGGCATCCGCCAGACCTTCACGCTTCCGGACTCTCCGCAGCAGAATGGGATTGCTGAGCGCCGCATCGGCATGGTCATGGACGTCGCTCGTACGTCCATGATCCATGCGGCTGCTCCCCATTTTCTGTGGCCGTTTGCGGTTCGGTACGCGGCGCATCAGCTCAACCTTCACCCCCGGGTCTCCATGCCGGAGACCTCCCCTGCTTTGCTGTGGACGGGGAAGGTTGGTGATGCGTCGCGTTTCCGGGTCTGGGGATCTAGGGCGTTTGTCCGCGACTTGTCTGCGGACAAGCTGTCCTCTCGTGCTGTTCCCTGCGTCTTCCTTGGCTTTCCCACTGACGCGCCTGGCTGGCAGTTTTACCACCCAGCCTCGCGCCGTGTCTTCGCGTCCCAGGACGTCACCTTTGACGAGTCGGTTCCCTACTACCGTCTCTTCCCCTACCGCACTGCGTCCCTCCCTCCCCCGCCGCTCTTCCTTACACCAGGCCCCCCTCCGGTAGACCCCCTCCCCCCTCAGGGTCCTGCTCCCTCAGGTGTGTCCCAGGTAGATGCAGTTGAGCCAGTCGAGGTAGCTGTTGACTCTGGTGCTGCTGGTGGTGCTGAGCCTGGGGGTGCTGGGTCTGGGGGTGCTGCGACTGGGGGTGCTGAGCCTGGGGGTGCTGGGCCTGGGGGTGCTGCGACTCGGGGTGCTGAGCCTGGGGGTGCTGGGCCTGGGGGTGCTGAGCCTGGGGGTGCTGAGCCTGGGGGTGCTGAGTCTCGGAGTGCGGAGCCTGAGGGTGCTGGACCTGCTCGTCCGGCGTCTGGTGGTGCTGAGCCTGACAGTTCTTCGGGTGCTTCGTCCCGGCGGGAGCTGCTCTCTCCACAGGAGCTGCGTGAGTGGTTCGCCCGGCGCTGGCGACGTGCTGCTGGAGCTGGTGGTGCTGCAGGCGCTGGAGGTTCTACTGCTGCTGAGAGTGCTGGTGCCGAGGGTCCCAGAGGTGCTCGTACCGAGTGTACTGGAGCTGCTGGCCCTACGAGTGCTCCTCCTGCTGGAGCTGGTGGTGCTGCTGGTGCTGCTGGCGTTGGTGCTGCTGGTGCTCCTGGAGCTGGAGCTGCTGGTGCTGCTGGTGCTGCTGGTGCTGCTGGCGTTGGTGCTGCTGGAGCTCCTGGAGCTGGAGCTGCTGCGTCTTCGGGTGGTCCGGCTGGAGCTGGAGCTACTGGGGGTGTTGGCGCTGGGGGTGCTCCTGGCGCTGGTGCTGCTGAGGGTGCTGGAGTTGGCGCTGCTGGAGCTGGGGGTACTCCTGGTGCTTGTGCTCTCGCTGGGGGTGCTGGTGCTGTTCCTGCTGGCACTGGTGGAGCTACGCGGCCGCGGCCGTACTTCGTTCCGCTCCTTGAGCAGGTTCTTGGTCTTCCGTCCTCTCTTGGTCCTGCTCCTGCCTTAGAGTGTCCGCCTCCTGTCCAGTCTGAGTCACAGTTACAGCCACCTTCCCCGCTTCCTTCTCCTTCTCCCTACACTGGTCCTACTGGAGGTCTTGCTGAGCGTCGTGAGCCTGCGTCTCGCCCTGCGTCGCCTGTCCGTACTGCTCGCACTAGTGGTCGTGGTTCGCGCCAGCGTCCTCCCCCTGTCCCCGGCACGCACCGGATGTCTCTGCGTCCTTCCACTGCTCCGCTGCGTGCCCCTTTTGTCAGAATCACTAGGCAAGAATGATTGAACTAGGAGAAGTTTGGGTACAAATAACAAACCCTAGTTGGGGTTGTACCCCATATTGGCTACCCCACTACAGCCTACAAGCATAATACAGTTTAACACACCCCCATAGGCAAAGTGGGGGAGAACAAAGGGTCACAAGACCAGTCCAGCAAAGCAAAGCAAAGCCCAGGGTGGATCACAACGTCACCACACTCCGAGCACAAGTAAAGGCCACAAGGCCAGTTCACATGCAGTGCTAGATATAATACAAGACAAGCAACACAGTGATCAAAACCTAGCAAGCAAGCAACAAGATATATATAAAGTACAGTACAAAGAATGTCAAGCAGTGAGCAAGTGAGGAAACGTGGACACAAGGCCTAAAGAAGTACAGTGCCGCTGATGATCACTAGGCGGGAGCGCCTTGGTGAAGATATCAGCAGTGTTGGCCTTCGAGTCCACGTACACAAGCCGAAGCTGACCGCGCTGCTGAAGCTCTCGAGCAAGAAAGTAGCGAAGAGCAATGTGCTTCGTCCTGTGCTCCAGTCTGTGCTCCTGACACAAGGCAAGAGCCGCCTTGTTGTCACCGTACAGAACTGGCGGAGAACTAGGCCGCTCTCCCAAGTCAGTCAGCAGGTAGGTGAGCCAGCGTAACTCCTGTGCAGCCATGGCTGTGGCGTAGATCTCAGCCTCACAACTAGAGCCGAGAACAGAGGAAGAGCGGGTGGACCGCCACGAGACAGAACCAGAGCCAAGGCTGAAGGTGTAACCCTGTGACGACCGCTGCGTAGCCAGGTCGTCCACCCAAGAGGCGTCCGAGTGACCAGTGAGGACAACTCTGTCGCGTCCTCCAAGCACCAGCCCCATGCCTGATGTACTGCACAAGTAACGCAGCACCCTCTTAGCAGCCTCCCAGTGCTCTCGCCTGTGTCTCCCAGGCGCAACGTAACGAGCAAGGATGCTAAGAGGGTACGCAAGGTCAGGTCGCGTGCAAGTCATCAGGTACATGAGGCAGCCTACAAGCTCTGGGTACGGGCCACTCGGCTCTACGGACTCGTCCGAAGGTGGAGCTGAGAGTGAGTGGCTGGTAGCCAGAGGTGTGGCCTGTGGTGAGGAGAACTGGAAGCCGAAGCGCTGAAGGACCTGCTGCACCATGTGTGACTGAGTCAGGGTGATGGTGCGACGGGCTCTGTCCCGGGTGATCTGCAAGCCAAGGTAGCTACGCAGTTCACCCAGGTCAGTGCAGGTGTGTCTCTTCTGCAGCTCCGACTTCACACGAGCGAGTGCCTCAGTGTCAGCAGTAGCAAAGACCAAGTCGTCGACGTACACGAGGATGTAGAAGGGCGGCAGCGACGTGTCAGTGCGCAGAAACAGCGACGGGTCAGCAGTAGACGGCGCGAACCCAAGAGCCGCAAGAGTAGTCCTCAGTGTGTCGTGCCACTCACGTGGCGCCTGGCGGAGACCGTAGACTGGCCGGCGGAGACTCCACTGGGTACCAGGGGGAAACGACCCAGTAAAGCCAGGTGGGCGGCGCAGCCAGATCTCCTCGTGCAGGCTGCCCTGCAGGAACGCTGTGCTGAAGTCAAGAGAGTGAAGCTCGTAGTCACGCTGAGCAGCAACGTGCAGCAAAACCCGAAGAGTGGTCATCTTCGGGGTGGGGGAGAAGGTCTGGAAGAAGTCGACCCCCTGACGCTGACTGAAGCCTCGAGCCACGTAACGCGCCTTGAAGACAGGTGGAGAACCCGGCGGCCGCTTCACCCTGAAAATCCACATGCCATCGACGATGTTCGCCCCAGGAGGGGGAACCTGGTCGACGTAGGTGCCTGTGGATTTCCAGGATGCCATCTCTGCGTCCATGGCTGTCTGCCACTGAGAGGAGTAGGGACCCGAGATCGCCTCTGCGTAAGTGCGCGGAGTGGGGATGTCTAGTGCATCCGGGTCTCCCTCAGGGGCAAGCAACCAGGCCACGAGATGAGGTACAGCAGCCGCAAGAGAGTCAAAGTCCTCCTGCCTGTCCTCAAGGACGTCCGTGCCAAGAGCACACTCACCCCCGACGGACGGAGGACAGACAGACGCAGACTCTGACTCAGCGACAAGGCTAGCAGCGTAGTCTAGACGACAGGCAGCAGCAAAGTCAACCAACTCAGCGACCAGAGCAGACGCAGCCGAGGACTCAAAGGTGGGGTCAGTGACAACAGTAGCAAGGAGACGCGTGACTGTAGGGTGCTCAGCGCGATACCGGTCAGACTCAGGGTCCGGAACGGCAGGCAAAGAGGACGCAGGAGGGGACGGTAGAGGGACACGTCGAGGAGCAGTAGAGGGACGCAGAGTCATGTAGTGAGTGCCTGGGACAGGAGGAGGACGCTCACGACGGACACGACTACCAGTGCGAGCAGGACGAACAGGCGACGCAGGACGAGACTCAGGCTCACGACGCTCTGTAAGACCTCCTGTGGGACCAGTATAAGGAGAGGGAGCAGGGAGAGGCGAGGCAGGCGGTAACTGTGACTGCGGCTGGACAGGCGGAGGACACTCTACGGAGGGAGGAGGACAAGGAGGAGGAGCCTGCCCAAGAACCTGCTGAAGGAGCGGTACGAAGTACGGTCGCGGCCGCGCAGGGTCTCCAGAAGCAGAAGGGACTCCAGCGGCCGGGTCCACAGCACCAGCAGCAGCTCCACCGGCCGGGTCCCCAGCTCCAGCAGCAGCTCCACCGTCCGACTCCTCAGCACCAGCAGCAGCTCCACCAGGTGGGTCCGCAACACTAGCAGCCGCGCCACCCCCAGAGTCGGCAGCTCCAACTCCGCTAGCACCGCCAGCGCCAGAGTCCCCAGCTCCAGCAGCTCCAGTACCCCCAGTACGAGCACCCCCAGGACGAGCAGCTCCAGCACCCCAAACTCCAGTCGAGCCACTAGGACGGCGAAAGCGTCGGACGTACCAGTCGCGAAGCTGCTGCGGTGTGAGAGACTGCTCAGCACCCCGAACCGGAGCACCCCCAGACGCAGTAACCCGAGGCTCCGTAGGCTCAGTAGCAGCACCCCCAGGCTCAGTACCCGCAGGCTCAGTACCCGCAGGCTCAGCACCCCCAGTCGCAGCACCCCCAGGCGCAGCACCCCCAGGCGGCAAACTCTCAGGCACAGTACCCTCAGCTCCAGCACCCTCAGTCCCAGCACCTGCAGCCCCAGCACCCCCAGGCCCAGCACCCCCAGGCTCAGTACTCCCAGCAGCACCACCCGCAGCAGCACCTGAGTCACCTGTGACCTCGACAGGCTCAGCGACGGGAGGAGGGTCTACCTGAGAGACACCTGAAGGAGCAGGACCCTGAGGGGGAAGGGGGTCTACCGGAGGGGGACCAGGAGCAAGGAAAAGCGGCGGGGGAGGGAGGGGGGCAGTGCGGTAGGGGAAGAGACGGTAAAAAGGGACCGACTCGTCAAAGGTGACATCCTGAGAGGCGAAGACCCGGCGCGAGGTGGGGTGGTAAAACTGCCAGCCAGGCGCGTCAAGGACAAAGCCAAGGAAGACACAGGGAAGCGTGCGGGAGGAGAGCTTGTCCGCGGACGTATCGCGGACAAGGGCACGAGCACCCCACATTCGGAAGCGCGACGCATCGCCAACCTCCCCCGTCCAACGCAGTGTGGGCGAGGTCTCCGGCAAGGAGACACGGGGCCAGAGGTTGAGCTGATGCGCGGCGTACCGGACAGCAAACGGCCACAGAAAATGGGGAGCCGCCGCGTGGACCAAGGAGGTACGAGCGATCTCCATGACCAGGCCAATGCGGCGCTCAGCAACCCCATTCTGCTGTGGGGAGTCCGGAAGCGTGAAGGTCTGCTCGATGCCCTCTGCCTGACAGAAGGTCCTCAGGAGATCGGAGGAAAACTCACCACCTCTGTCAGAGTGCAGACGCAGGACAGGAAGATCCGTCCGGAAACGGCGGCGGAGCTGGAGACGAACCGTGCGGATCCAAGGGATCAGAACAGCAGGGACCTCACCCTTGGTGCGCAAGGGGAAGACCGTGGTGTAACGCGAGTAGTCGTCGACAACCAGCAGAAAGTACCGCTCACCGCCCTGACCACGAACGCGGGCTGGGCCCCACACGTCCAGGTGGAGGGTCTCCAGAGGAGCCTCTGTCGGGGGGAACGAGGAGGAGTGAGGAGCGGCGCGCTGCCGCCCCTCGACGCAAGGAAGGCAAGGCGGCGCAGGCGAGGCAGGGAGGGGAGGGAGGGACCTGGGAAGACCAGACACAAGGAGGCGACGGTGCATGCCACGAAGGCGTGGCAAGGAGGGGTGACCCAGGCGGTGGTGCCAGAGAAGAGTCTGGTGCGACAGGGAACGACACTCACAGGCGTGGGCCACCAGACCTGACGCAGACACCTGACCGACAGCAGCTACCTGGGGAGACGCAGTGGTCAGTGTGTAGAGACTCGACCCCGGCCGACGGGTGAACGTAGCCAGGTGACGGCCAGTCCTGGAGCACGTGCAGATCGCCACACGCTGTCCGCCAGGGGTAAAGGTGTCAACCCACTGATCCTGGAGGACAGCGTTGCTCACCAGGTTCGTCGAGAACGAGGGGAGGTGGAAACCCGACAACGAGCCAGACGGAACCGCCGGACAAGGGAGGACAGTAGTGGACTGGGCAAGGACTGGGCCCCCAGAGGGGTCAGCCAAGGAGACTGGGACCGGTGCAGGAAGCGGTGTGAGCTCAGTACTGTCACGAAAGAAGCAACGGGAAGCACCTGAGTCAAGGGTGAAGGTGTGACAGGCCTCAGCCGGTGCGGTACCTGAGGGAGCAGTCTGTGTGGGTGCTGTACCTGAGAGAGCAGACTCGAAACCAGCCGGGACAGCACTGGGGGGAGCAAGTACAGGGGGCACCATACCAGAGAGAGCAGACTCACTAGTACCCAGGGCAGCGGGCTCTATACCTGGGTCAGGCGGCACACACAAGTAACAGTCTCCCTCGGCACTAACAGTCAATGCATACATGGCAGCAATAATAGCATCATAGTCAAGAGCAAAGACATCAA